CAATTTCATTTTTGGTGTGAAAGAGCCTTTACAGTTGCAAAAACATATATAACTTTTGTTGTTGTTGTTGCTGTTATTAAAAAAAACAAATAAGCAAGCCCAGCTCATGTGATAAAAAGTAACACAAAATAAATGCAATGCATTACTTTCCATAAAAAGTAATGAAGCAATGCAATTAGTTACTTTTTTATGGAGTAACACAATATTGTAATGCTTTACTTTTAAAAGTAACTTTCCACAATACAGTTTTTTTTTTTTTCATCCATTATGATGTATTTCAACATAAAACAATACAAAAATGTTAGGTGGGACTTTTTATTTCCTGGGTAGTAAAAAAAAAAAAAATTGCAAAAATTCATAACAAGTATGAGTAACAAATATATATATACTGTATATATATATATAAGAGATTTTATATATATCTATATAAAATATATAGATAGATAGATAGATAGGTAGGTAGGTAGATAAATATATAACAAATATATATATATATATATATATCTATATATATATATATATTAATAACTGTGGAACACACAATGTTATTAACTCTGGAAACGCCATCACAGTCTGTGAAAAGGGTCCATTGTTCACAATAAGACCAGGAATGTATTGGGTCTGTATGGGGTCCATTCTGATTTTGTGGCTGTTCTGTCTGACAAAACAAATAAATGAGAGATGTACCTTTGTGTTGGCAGATGTTGTCAGAATGTCTGTGCTTCCTTACAGATCCACAGCCCAAGAACTACATGCTTTACTATGGCTTCTCTAGTTTTGCAATCGAGATGAATGAGCTGACCCCTGACCTTAAGCCCTTGCTTCCCCCTACAGATACACGCTTGCGCCCTGACCAAAGGTGAGACCTTCCTAATAGACAATGATAAATAGACAGACACTGGAGCCAGAATTATTTAGCAATTTCATGGATTAGCAAGTCCATGAAACTCTTCTTTTAGATCATCTGTTTTAAGTTTGCTCTGTGTTGGTACTGTTAGGCTTCTCGAGGAGGGGAAAATAGAGCAGACCGATAAAAAGAAGGATGAAGTTAGATAAATAGATAGATATTAATACTTATATCTTTATTTAGAAGAAAAACAACATACTTATTTTAAGTAGCAGATTTTTGTAAAATTGTTTTAAGTATAAACAAGTTAAAAACAAGCAAGAATATGTCTGATATTCAAGATTTATTCTCTGAAAATAAGTCTCCTTAACAAATACTCATGCAGTGTTGCATCATAAATACAGTTTTTTTGGGGGGGGGGTGGATCCACTGGTCACTGGAAAAGGAAATGTGTTTTAGAGTAAGCTAAAGTTATTACATTTTGATTTAAAATTACAAAGACACACTTTTTTCCTTTAGAATAACACACACTGATGAATCACTCACAATAAGACCAGACATGTGCATTAAGAAAGTAAATAGAGTTCAATTTGATTTCATGTTGACTTTAAAGCTATCTTTGTGTAGCCTATTATTATCCATCCAAGTGTGTTCCCAGGGTAATGCATGAGAGTTCTTGGCAATTATGCAATCTCAGTTATTCTTCGTTGCACATGTATGACAGAAGTATGTGTGTCTTGCAGCACCTAGATGCTTCAGATGCTTCAGTGTATCGGGTGTCGTGGAGTCTGGCCACGTTGAAGAGCTCCATTCAAACAGATTACAGCTGATAAGAGCCCATCTGATGAATTCAGTCTCTGTGCGTGGAGTAAAAAAATAGAGAGGGATTCTCTATCCGGCCTCTGTTCTGTGTGAGAAACCAGTGGGCGAACAGATTGGGCAGGGGGGCTCGTTTTTCTGTCACCCTGAAGGCCAACACATTTTAATTAGATGGATTAGCTTAAAGGAGGAATACAGCGAGCGGGAGATCAGAGAGTTCCCAGTGCTTTCAACATTCATGATAAAACAATCATCTGTTGATTCACGTTTCTTCTAGATTATTTGATGTGCCATCATTGAGACTCCTTTAGCTAACATCGCAAGGCCCGAGAAACTTCAGTAAGGAGTATCAGCTTGTAAGAGATCTAAAGTCCCAGCTTGGCAGACAGCAGAATCCCACATAATAAATGTATTACTCACCATGAAAGCTATTCAGATAAATTAGCAGTTGTCTCTGACCATTTGGGAACTGTATGGGAATCAGAGGAGCTGTTCAGAACTTTTCTCTTTTTGTCCACAAAACAGATTATTAACAAGAAGCAAGCGACATCTGGAACATTTTAGCATCGTTATCAATAGAGGGAGGGACTAATCCTGTTAGAACAAACAAGTGTCGAATACATCACATTGTTCTGGTTATTAAGTAATATTTAGAGTTGCATGTTGATTATAACAGGTGTAAGAGTTTATCAAAGGACCCTAGGTGCATCGCGCAAGTTTTCAGGCTGATGTTCAGAGGATGCTTTCACAAGATGACAAGGAGCAGATGCTAAGGTCCTGATTACCACATGGTCAGATCTTACACAATGTACTCAAGGGTCCACAAGAAGATCAATGAGAACCAATCAGAATCAGAATAAGCATGTCACTGTGCTCAGGGCAGGGTCCTAAAGACTGCATCACAGCAAGTGAAGTGAAGTGTTCTACAAAACAGTAAAAACTACAACCAAACCTCGATCAGCTAATGGCAAGGACAAAGTTGACCCTCACTGCTCTCTTGCTCCTCACTGACATCCTATTGCTTTCTAATGGGCTTCCTTTGAACTTTCTCAGTCTTTCTTAACAAATCATTTTTTTGCTTTATATGCAACACCCTTGGGAACAAGAACATCCATGTTCAGTGAAACGTCTAGTCCCTGTCAGAGTGTGTCTGTTAGCACTGTGCAGATGTTAAGAGAATGACATCAGTGCAAATGCACCCCATTCCTTTAAATAAAACAGTCCGTTCAGCCCCCTCCAGAGGTCCCTGGGGTGTACTCCACTGTGGACAAAAAGCGAAAAATTTATAGCTTACCTTTTTCACATTGACCAAAAGTTCCATGACTTCACTATTTGAGTCTTGAACTGGCTTCCGCACCCTTCAAATGAGGATTTAAAAACAGACACACAGTTCTGGATTTTGAAAGATTGATGATGCAAGCCACCATTCAGTGCAGTCACTGGTAGTAAGATGAATCAGGTGATGTTTTTTTTTATTTTTTTATGTCTCTGGTTTTAATGATTTTTCTAACAGTTCCTAAACTATCATTCTTTTCTGTGAACTTTATTGTCTTGGACAGCTCTAGTAAGTGCCCAAATAACAAGAACACAGAGAAATCTGTGAATGATACATAGAAAAATCAGCTGCAACAAAGTTGCTTTGGAACTGAATTGCCCCAATGGTCAGGAATCTTCTCCCAGTGTTGGTATCTATTGTACCCTTTGACTTTTGACCTTGTGCCCATCTTCCCCTTTTGACCCTCAAATGTCAACTGCCGGGGTCACAATGTTCTTTGGCTCTCTTTTTCTTCACTCTCTCATGGCTTGAAGATGAAGCGGGTCACTGTTCATGCTTGAATGGTATGTAGCATTCCCCAGTGTGAAAAGACTAGGGTTTTGTGTCCAATTGCAAAAAACAGGGACAGAAATTCCGACAGTTAATAGACAGTTAATAATTATAATTTTTCTGGCTATTGAACAATCAGATTCCACATATGCATTCTTAAAAGTACCATATGATCTTTAGGTACTGGAACAACCAATTCACACATTCTTTCTTTTCTTCCATTGTCAAGCCAGCCACTCATCGCAATAAGCTCTGTGCTTTGTTGCTTTTAATATAGAACAGCTCAGCTTTCAAATTATGTCAGTTTTATCACAAAATACAAATTACAAATGTGTGTTTCCTCTTTATTACAAGTTATAGCATGATATAAACGTGAAGGAACATCAGAAGGCATGAAAAGAAAACAGTATAATTTAATGAAATTAATGTCTCACTGTAATCCTATCAATTTGTTTTCTTTATTTATTATACAATTAACAAAAGCAAAAGCAGGGTGTCCGCGGGGTCTTAAAAAGTATTAAAAGTTGATAAATCAATTTAGAGAAAATTAAGGCCCTTAAAAAGTATTAAAAAGTCTTAAATGCCATTTTCCAAGGTATTACATTTTGTATCATCTTTTCATTATGTATATAGTTGTCGAATAGTGGGGTTCTGTCTATTTTATTTATGGAATCCCGCAAGATTTGACGTCATCTGTTACTGCGCTCACTGACTGACTGCACTGCTGTGTGATAGCGCGGGGCTTGTTGATCCCGCTCACGCTGAATTTCTGACCATTACCGCACGCTCCCATACGCTCACGTGATTTTTGTGTCCGCTCCCGCAAACATTCTAATATTGTATATAATTTTTGTGCATCAGCAGTCATAGTTCACTTTCAATTTCGCGATTGCGCGCGCACTGTGTAAAGGGAGCACATCCTACGATAAGAGATATTTGACAATGAGCTCGGGATCTGTTGAGGAGCAAATCCTCCAACATCTTGTCAGTTATCTCTCCTTACTTTTGACCCGTGATTAGTCAAATCTAACTTCTGCAAGCTCGTGTTGGATGCAGGGTTGTTGTTTTTTTTCCATGAGAAATTGGGCTGCTTGTGTTTATGATAAATGTGCATAACAGTGACTGTAAAATATGTATTTTAGGGATGGAAATTAAATTTTTATATTTGGGACATGGTAATTGTGCTACTTTGGGCTGTTTGTTTTTTACTGGCATGGGCTTGGGATGCACAATTAAAATTATGTAATAGTTGTGATCATTATTTTACCTTCCATGATCATTCAGACATGATCAGGTGCAGTACTGACACTCTGTCAAGTCTGCATCAAATCAAGCACTCCGTAATCACAGGTAAACTGTCTGATCAGTCAGATGTTTGTCATGAGAAGTGTTCCACAAAACAGCTATGGTTTGCAGACAGTTATAAAAGTTGATGTGACAAATACATCTTTTGAATATACTCTGTGAACTCATTGCCCCGTTAGCTCGGAGAGCTTTATTTTCCCTCCTCAATAAGTGTTGTCAGTTGTTTTGTTTATTGGTCTAATTCTTGTTTCTTGGGTTGCATTGGTTAGTAACTCAATTAATTCTCTTGTGCTTCATTCGCCACTTCTGAATTATGTTGTATTGATAAGGAGTTATCACAAAGTAAGTCTGTTTAGTTGCGCTATCTTACAATCAATATATAGTAAATGTAAGTTAAAGTGTCGCCGATGTAACCGGTTAAGGAGTGGCGATGAGGTCTTAAAATTGGAATTGGAAAGAGTCTTAAAAAAGGTCTTAAAGGGTATTAAATTTAACTCCATGATTCCTGAATATACCCTGAAAAAAGGCCTCTAACACTAGCTTGCTCTATTCTTTTTCTATTCTATCTGTTTTATTTTTATTTATTATATGATTTTAAAAAAAACCTTGCTACATGTATCGCATTAAGCTAACTGAGACTTGTTATAGCACTTGCATATCATTGCTTTTTTGTTGATTTTGATTGCTTCCATTGTCCTCATTTGTAAGTCGCTTTGGATAAAAGCGTCTGCTAAATGTATAAATAAATAAATAAATAATCCAAAAGATGACTGATTCACAAGCCGCTTGAACTGAGGCGAATACAGCGATCTGTTATGCCACATTAAAGAGCGTGAAAAACACATTATTGTAAGACATATTGGTTGTATTTCACTATAAAACTGACATAATTTGAAAGCTGAGACTTTGTTTTAAGTACCAAAAGCACAAAGCTTACTGATATTATTGGGTGGCTGACGCACTACAAATAATGAATGCATTCGAAGACGTGAAATAATATTTCCAAGCATACTATCCCTGCGAGTATATGACACATGGTATGATTTCTGCTGATAATTCTACATATATTCAAATCAGTTTCCAGGCCACCAAAATTTCTCCCCATGCTTCCAATCCAGGTGTCAGTCCTGTGCTCCTGTCTTTGTTGTGTTTTGTTCCGTGTCTTGTGTTTTCCCCCCCCACGTGCCCCATGATCTAGTTTCTCCCATGTCTGATTATGTTCATTGTTCCCAGGTGTTTCCTATGTTTATGATGTGATTTTATTCCAGGTGTGTCTCGTTTGGTTCTAAGATCTTAAGCCCTATGTTTTTCCGTGTCTAGCGTCCGATATTGTTCGTCTATACCCTCTGCTACGTGTGCTTTGCTTTGGTTTTGTGTAAATAAAGACTGTTTCAAGAATTTACCCACGTCTCCTCGCTCCTTCGCTCCTCACTCCGTCACAGTAGCAGCAGCATCGTGACAGAATACCGGACCGACAAAAAGTAAGCGGCGACCATTCTCCCCGTTTTGTTTCCCGTTTTTTGAAAAGTCTTTTGTTTTCTCGTTTCTCCCCACTGCTATGGATGTAGCCGCTCGGTTCTCCGCCCTAGCCCATAGGGATCTCCCCTTCATTGAGTACGCCTGGGAATTCTGCGGGCTCATCGGTGACGACATTGGATGACGCCACCATCAACTCGCTGTTCTTGATCAGGTCAAATTACTACCGCCCCGTTGACCTCCCAGACACCACAGGACTAAGCTGGAGGGAAGGGATCCTCCGGTGTCTGGAGAGTGTCCGGCCCCGATCCAGAACCAGCCGGCCGTCAAGCCAGCCGGCCGTTCCTCAGTCAAGGCCGCCGACCACTGCACTCTCAAGCCCGCCGGCTGCTCCGATGTCAAGCCTGCCAGCAGCTCTTTTAACAAGCCCACCAGCCATTCCTCAGTCAAGCCCACCGGCTGCTCCTCAGTGAAGCCAGCCAGCCGTGGCGTTGTCAAGCCCGCTGGCCGCTCCGAAGTCAAGCCCGCCGGCTGCTCCGAAGTCAAGCACGCCGGCACGTGGCACTCTCAAGCCCGCCGGCCGCTCCATTTACCCCTAACCAAAGGAGGAGGATGAGGAGAAAGAGACTGTTCTCCACCCTCATCCCAGCCCCTGAGTCCACTCCAGTGTCGGCTCCAGCCCCTGAGTCCACTACAGTATCGGCTCCAGCCCCTGAGTCCGCTACAGAGAGGGCTCCAATCCCCGAGTTTAGCCCAGAGAGGGCTCCAGTCCCTGAGTTTAGCCTAGGGAGGGCTCCAGTCCCCGAGTTTGGCCCAGAGAGGGCTCCAGTCTCCGAGTTTAGCCTAGAGAGGGTTCCAGTCCCCGAGTTTAGCCTAGAGAGGGCTCCAGTCCCTGAGTTTAGCCCAGAGAGGGCTCCAGTCCCTGAGTTTAGCCCAGAGAGGGCTCCAGTCCCTGAGTTTAGCCCAGAGAGGGCTCCAGTCCCTGAGTTTAGCCCAGAGAGGGCTCCAGTCCCTGAGTTTAGCCCAGAGAGGGCTCCAGTCCCCAAGTCAAGCCCAGGGAGGGCCACAGTTCCCGAGTCAGGCCCACGGGGGGCCTCAGGGGTTGATATTTTCCCCAAGGAATTTTTTTTGGGGGGGGGTTATAGGGATCCGTCCGTAGAGGTCGGGCCGAGTGCTGAGGTCAGGCTCCCTAGTCTGCCTGCTCCGTCATGGCCGCCTGAGCTCCCTGCTCCACCATGGCCCCCTGAGCTCCCTGATCCGCCAGGGCATCCTGAACTTCCTGATCAGCCATGGGACCCGGAACGGAGGGCCCTGCCGTCCCGTGTAGGTCTGTCCTGAGGGGCCTCCAGAGCACCCACCCCCCCTTCTGAGCCTTCTGGGAAGGGGGAGTAATGTCAGTCCTGTGCTCCTGTCTTTGTTGTGTTTTGTTCCGTGTCTTGGGTTTTTCTTCGCCCACGTGCCCCATGATCTTGTTTCTCCCATGTCTGATTATGTTCATTGTTCCCAGGTGTTTCCTATGTTTATGATGTGATTTGATTCCAGGTGTGTCTCGTTTGGTTTTAAGTTCTTAAGCCCTGTGTTTTTCCGTGTCTAGCGTCCGGTATTGTTCGTCAATCCCCTCTGATACGTGTGCTTTGCTTTGGTTTTGTGTAAATAAAGACTGTTTCAAGAATTTCCCTACGTCTCCTCGCTCCGTCACAGTAGCAGCAGCATCATGACACCAGGCCATTTGCATGAGCAATATAGGCTATACTCTCAAAATATTATTCATGTAATCAATTGCTATGACTTAATTCTCATAATTTTGACTTTATTCTCAATATATTATGACTTTATTCTCATAATCTTGTTATTATTATTTTTTTTTATGTGGCACTAAATCGCTGTTATACAAAAGCCTCTCAAGAAACAAAATAAAAAAAAATACTTTACAAACATTAATATAGTGAAATATTACAATTTGAACTGTTAAATGTTTTCTATTTCAACACATTTCAAAATGTATTTTATAACTGAATTTTCAGTAGCCATTACTCCAGTCTTCTGTGTCACACGATCCTTCAGAAATCTGATTATTATTTATGTTGAAAACAGTTGTGATGCTTAATATTTTCATGGAAACTACGATACTTGGATAAAAAAGTAGCATTTATTTGAAACAGAAAACTTTTGTAACATTATAAATGACTTTCCTGTAACTTTTGATCAATTGAATATGTCCTTTCTGAATAAAAGTATTCATTTATTTGTCTATTTAAAATCTTACTCACCCCAAACTGTTGAACGGTAGTATATTCATTTTATATAATTCTTTATAATGCAAATTCTTCACAACTCATTGATTCTCTTCTGTTATTTACTTTCTATTACTGTGATTTATTTTTTTCTTCTTCTTCTTCTTTTTTTTACTGCCATAAGTGAGACCTGTTATTGAGCAAATCTTTCACTGTAAACCAAAGGAAATCTACAAGCTCAGTGTAGAGTAAACAAGGGTGCTATACTGTATTGTCTTGTGATCCTCAGCCTAAAAGGCCTACATTGTATGAACAGGCTGCTGCAGAAATGAAGGAGCTGTTGCTGCTAGTTCTAGCTTTAGTGAAAGCTTAAGCTTAGTTTACATGATCAATTCAATGGACAAAGCAATGACTGGCAGCTGCCACCCTCCATATCTCTTTCAACATTATGAGAGTATCGTGATCATGTTTTGGCATGGAAGGCAACATCAGGGAATGAAAACAGAGCCCTGCTAGCATATTACAAGGTATTAGCATGTATCCAGTCATGCTATATTTAAACATGCCTAAATATTTTAGGTAGTGAAGTGGGTGGCTTTATTTACCCATAAGTGTGTATCCAGAGTACAGGGAAAGCATGGGCTAGCATGGAGTGTCATATTGTGCATGTCTAGACAGCATCAACTGCCGCATTCAGTGTAGAGCAAGCCATTAACAAACATTACTTTCCTGTGCCACAGGTGATTTGAATCAGGCCCAGAGTTTTTATGCAAACTTTTTCACATTTTCTGTTCTGATTTTGGGGGAAAATCTGTGGAATGGATTCAAACATGGTAAAATATTCGAAAGCCTTAAAGATATTTATCAGATGATCTCACTAAATATTATTTATCTGAAAAGTTTCCATACATGGACTGTTTCTTCAAACACATTCTCACACAGTACACCCTAAATCCCCATCCCGCCCCACTCTGGACAACAAACACTGATCCTCTCACTCATTAAGCAATGGGTCAACCTCAGAGCCAGGGGTCAGAGATCAGGGCAGCGCCAGAGACTGGACAATAAGTAAACAGGCACCTGGAGTAAATCAGGGTCTCCTCTCATCAATCGCCTGTGACAGAGACCATTACAGGGGCCAAATTAACAGGCCACCAAGAACAGCAAGGGCTTGTGGGTAGCTCAGGGACATGCACAACCCCTTCAGTGACCAAAAGAGCCACAATTCACTCCGGCCAGGCATGTTTTTTTGCATGTGGGGGTGATTAATGAAGAAGTGGGGGGCAGGGACCAGGCTAAGGGGCGACTCGTGAAGGGAAACCTTTGTATTTATACTCGTATTTCACGGGTCAGTCTCCTTGTTTGTTGGTACAGACCACTCTGGCGGTGCTGATCTGCAGCAGGAGCTTTAGGTGGAAAGTTTCTTTTTTAAAGCTTCTTTGACAGGCTTTTTGGAGAAACGATAGGGCAGAAATATTGAAATGATGTTTTGGATAATGAGGCCTTCCTAGCCACACCACACTGACTAAGTCTAAAATAAACGTTTTGGTGAAGGAAATTCTGGGTTGGTCCATTGGGTTA